CAAAGCCGCCGACGGAGCTGTTGGTACCCGCGGCAGCCGTCGCATTAGGGGCATCTGGTCCTTATAAAGCGGGACCTGCTTCTGCTGGCTGCTGTCAAAGCCAGTCACCCGTTGCTGTTCCGTGGATGCGGCAGAGAGCAGCAACGAGGGAAAAATAATTGTAATTTGCTGGATTAACCCAGTTTCTGTTTTCACTCACGTCACAGACGCGAAACGATTGTGTTTGTGCGCGAGCCGTGGCTAAGCACGAGTGCTGCATGTGTGGGTTTTAATCCACAGTCGTTCAAACACATCTATTGGAAATATCCAAATAGTGAGTGGCGCTTAGGAGGAGGTGTAGGAAGCCCAAGGAGATGTTTATGTCTCCCCGAATTCGCTGTAGCCTTCAATTTTTTTGGTAATATCCTCACTTATTGTGAGGACTGAGCTTGGGGAGAAGAGACATTTAGTGTTCTCTCTGGAAAGGACTTTCTTGAAACACACAAAATTAGTATTGACAGTTTTAGGCATTACAAAGTATAAATTAGAATCTGAAATAATAATTTAAATATTTCTTGTGTGTTTTCTGGTTTTTGGAACCTTTTGGCCACGCCCTATCGTGTTCTCAAGTTTCTATGCAAACACTTCCACAGAGAACCTGAGGATTCTGAGAACTAGTGATGTCATGATATTTGCAGTGAAATTAAGGAATTCTACAACCTGGAGAAACCTTTCTTTGTGAATATAATAGACTTTTGATTTCATCCTTTCAGGTCTGCGTTTTCATAAGTGACCAGGAATGCTGTGTCCCCTGGGACTGATGCCCTAAGCACGGGCTGCTCTTGCTTAGCTCCTTGCTGGGGGACCAGGGGATGCATCAATAAAAAAAAAGAAAACAAAAAAAGGGGTTAAAACCAGACAATTGTTAACAAAGATGATGGCACGAGGAAGAGATTTGGCCTGGTTTCTGAGCCTGTTCCACTATTTAATGTTGCTTCCTTGTCAAGGCATTGATTTATTTAGTTAACCATGTTTGCTGGATCGTTCTTCTGCTCAGTGTAAGATATCCATACCATAAGCACTTGGCAGGCTGAAGAAATTAGTATTTTTGGTTAAAACTTCCCTCTGACCTGTAAGAGGGAGTCTCTCGAATTCCTAGCCTGTTTAGGGTGGTTTGTTTCCCATGGTATCCTTGCCAAGTTCTTTCTAATTATGGAAAGTATGTTATTTTGCAGTTCTTTTGCAAGGCAGACATAATGAATATTTTTAAAATCCAGGAAAAAAAAAATACAAGCATCGATCGAAGAACTTCAGCTCTTTTGCTTTTGGAATCGTGTAGCTGTGAACCACGGTGACTTTGGCATATGCTATACCCCAAGCAGCACCTCTTACCTCCCGATTAACATTTTCAGTGCAGCTTTGGGGACCACGAGGCCGTTTTCGCGGGCCGGGCTCCGTTTCTCAGCAGAGCCGGTGCTCACGGGTGCAGCCTGGCGAGCCCGGCGCAGCAGGGCTGACAGGAAAGGTTTCCAGTGCTGTAGCTTTGAATGCAAAATTGTATGCAGGGAATCAGCTGCTTATCAGCAACGAGCAGAGCAGTCCCAGAGCTCTAATCCAAGGCTTATATGAGTCACTCCTAACTGGCGAAGCCTGGAAAACCTGATTCATGGCTGTGTGTGTAGTGCTGGGAGCAGGGACACAGCCCGAGCCTGCCCCCCTTAGCGCTGGGCTCTGCGTTGCTGCAAAGCAGGAACGTGGCTTTATCACCTTAACAGTGCAGGATCGAGAATCTTAAATGAAAATGCTGTCATCCACCTCTGCTTTCTGCCAGCTATTCTCTTAATTTAGGCTAAGCCACAGGCAGGCTTGTTTTCCTGGCCAACAGGAGTTGGGCAGCAGTTTTGTTAGAAAAAAAATGTTTTTGAGTAAAGGTTTTGATTAAAGAATAAATGAAAGGTTTCTGTGCCTGCAAGAGCCGCAGGAAATGTGTGAAAATGCACTCCTGAAAACTGGCTTCTTGTGTGTTCCCGTAGTGCAGATTGCAGCGGAGGGATGTGCTCCGAGGCTGTCAGGAAGCCGCCACTATGGGAAAGGTGAAGCTGTCAGCGTGGAGATGAACCCTCCGCTGATGCATAATTTAAAAATGTAACCTGAATTACTACGTTGACCTCTGCGGTGTCTGGCTGCAACCAGGGTGATCTGGGGAGCGATAGCGCAGGGCTGGAGTTTTCCTCCTGGCTCGGGCCTTGCTGCAGGGATTCAGGGGCGGTTGGCAAGGCTCCCTTTGGGAAATGCACCGGAGGTTCCCCATAATCTTCCCGGTGAGCGGGGCCTCCGAGTATCGTTTGCTCATTTCAAGGCTGTAGAGCAGCCCCCTGTTAAACCCACCTCTGAATCGTGTCCTCAGGCTGCTGCCATTAATAATTCACACTGCTCGTCAGCCGCGCGATGATGAGAGGCAAAGGGGACCCCGTCGCCCATTGAAGTCGCGCAGGGACTATGAATAATTTCTCCAACCTGGAAGATCTAATTAGGGCAGAGGAGCGACTGGCACCGTGGCTCTTCAGAAGCGGTGTGCAGGCTTCCACACAAATCCTTGGAAGCACTGGCATCTTCTTCCCATGACGAATGACATGCTCCGTGTCCGAGATCAATGTCGGGGCCTGGGGTCACAACTCATTAGAGGAGAGCGCTGACCCCGACGTGGTCTGCTCCGTTTCTTGGGTTTAAATAGTCACCCATCAGAGCAGTAGTCATGCACAGCCTTTACTTGCTTTAATGCTTTTTGCTTTAAATCTTTTTGTTTTGTAGCTTATTGTAATAGGATTTTGAGTATTGATGAAGGGGAAAAAAAGCTGCTTCAAGCAGAGCTGACTCCAGCTAGTGCCAGCAGTGGTGAAAGCCTTGGGAATACTTTCAGGGCATGGCTTGTCAACAGTTGGAAGGACTCATGTCTTGGGACAACTGGGTGATGATTGCCACGTGTGACCACTTTAAATGGATTCCAACACAGGAGATGGTTGTAATGTTGGTTTGGGGCAGATGTGTGTAGAGTTGGCCTTATCCTGAAGGACAGGGATGCTACCTGGGCTCCTGCAGTGGTGTCTGGGACTAACACACCTAAGGGTCAGAGAAAGGGAGCTGGTTTAGCTCTGCCTTCTTCATCTCCCTGTGGTCATGTAGAACCCTTAGGGGGAGAAAAATAAAAAGGAGAAAGAAAAAGGCAGCAGCAGCCTCTGAAAAGGCTACCTGGGGAGGAAAGGGTGTTAGTCGGTTTGCCACCTCTGCTCAGCTGCACGTGGCAATGAGCCAGCAACATTAGTTAACATTCAGTGTGACAGTGACTCCAGTGTCATACCTAGAGTGCAGAAGTGTTTGAGCAGATGCAAAGGTCAGCAGCAGTCTCTTTTTGAAGAGGATGCACTGAAGGAAAGATTATATTCCCCTTAATTTTGAAGATTATATTCCCGTTAATTTTGGTAAAGCTCTCATGGATAAGTAGGAGTTGAGGCTGAATCACGTTCTAGTTTACTCAGCGCAATAGGAGCTGGAAGCATTTAGAGCAAGTGACCTCCAAACAGAGGGTGGTATAAAGAAGAAACGTGGAGCAGACTGTTATTCATGTGAGGAGAGAAACCCATCCTCTTCATTAGCTGCTACGTGTCACTGCAAGCGGATGACTAACTCTTTAGTCACCAGTGCTTGGAAATGGAAGCTCATGTGGTTCGAGGCAGAGCTCGTCTCCTCCAAGGTCTGTCCCAGCCCCAGTGCCCTTGACGGTGCTTTGCAGGCTGCTCCATGGCCTGAAACTCCTGCAAGCTGCTGAACATTGGCCGGGCCTGGGTGATGCAGCTTAGACCGCTGAGATGGTCTCGTGTGTAGCTTAGACTGCTGAGAGCAAAATCATTAAGAGACTCGGGGAATAATCCAGGTTGGAAGGGACCTCTGCTTCAACCCCACTTCAAAGCAGGGCCAACATAGCTCAGGTAGCTCAGGCCTTGCCTGGTCTGGTTGGGAGAATCTGCAAGGATGAAGTTTCACAACGCCCAGGGCCCCTGTTCCAGTATTTGACTGTCCTCATTGTGGAAAAAAAAAAGATTTCCTAATATCCCACTGGAATTTCCCTCAGTTGGGCTTGTGTCCATTACCACCCATCTTTCACTTTCCACCTAGTGCTCGCAAAAGCTACACATGCGTTTTGATTTTTCTCAAAATACTCCTATCCCTGGAGATTGGTGGTTTTTCCCATTCTTAATGTAGCTAAGGCCAGTATTTTTTTAAAAGTGGGACCAAACCCGTGCTTGCCTCTGGGAAAGCTAAATTTTCCAAGGCCTGCAGGCTAAGACAACAGTTTCTTGACTGTATCCTATAGGGAAGGGTCTTGCATTCCCTGGCATCAGAGTGTGGCTTGTTCTGTGGCAGTGACCCCGGGGACCTCCATACGGAGGGGATGTTTTGAGCACGGACATCCCAAAACATTTCTGTTCCACGAACTCCCTGCACAGACAGACACGACCAGCTGCTTCCTCCACCTGGAGACTCTTTGTGGTCCTTTGGATTTGCAGGGAGAACCATCGCAGGCCCCGCGTGGGCACGGGGGATTTTGCTGCAGTTGGGGTGAATTTCCAGTGGTTTGGGGAGCCCGCTGGATCCTGCTGTGCGCAGAGAACTGTTTTAGTGCAAAAAAGAAAAAAAAAATCAAAAAGCCATAATGGAGCATATGGCTTCCTGTCCTTTTTGCTGTGGCTTTGCATGTTAGGCTGCGCACCGAGTTTTCCAGCGGCTCTGATTGCTTCTCTTTCCGTTTTCCCCTGCCGTCGGGGACTCCGGCTGAGGACAGCTGTGCCGGGACTGCCTCTCCTGCGGCCGGCTCTCCCCTCTGGAAGGGGAGGAGAGCTCCGCTCCCTGCCTCGGAAACCGCCCTCCCCGGGATGCTCCAGTAAGAGCTGGGCAGGAGGGAGGGAGTTCTGACTGCGCTGAAAATGCCATAAAAAAAAAGAAAAAGGGGAAAAAAAGCAACTGACAGAAGAGAGAAGTTGTCCTCAGATTCCTGCTTTATGCAGCAGCCTGAACTGAGTCTCTGAAAGCGCTGGGGGAGCTGGAAGGAGGCAGAAATGAAGTTCAGAGCCGCGGTAAGACTTATTTAACACTCTTGGTGTTTTCCCTGTTTTCAGAGGTGGATCTAGGGCAAGAGGAAGGAGCGAAGTTTCCA